ACATTGATTTACACCAGTGTGGGTCTTGCCTATTATGTTTAGTTTCTACACTAAGTGTCACTTAGTTACAAAAATAATTAGTGTCTCTAAAACTAGTCTGTTTAATCTAATAAAAATATATTATTCACCATTCTGTTTCTGGAGACAAGAGCTTATCCTACATATTTAAAATACAATCTCCATTTTTGTTCTGCATTCAAATAGGATCTGCATTCCCTGTGCCAAAATGCACATCAGATTGGGAAGTATTAGTAGGCTGGCACTTAGTAGTGACTTTGGTAGCCTTTCCAGTATCACAGGTGATCAGGCATCTAGTACTATTGTGACAGCCACAATCTTAACTAACACTGAGGTTTGAACTGGGAACATCCAGGCCTAGAAGCATGAACTGCTACAGCTTGAGCTAAAGCTGTACAGCTAGAGAGCATAACAATTCATTTGTGGATTGGCACAGATGGGCACCTGTGACACTCACCAGTGGGTTACACAAGACTCTTGCAAGGCTAAAGAGAATAGCTTTTCCACCAAGCTACTGACTAGCACTTCTCTCCCTCAGCCAGAGTGCTAATCAAACCCACACTTAGTGCCACAACTATTTCCTGCCAGTCATATAGAGTTATCAACCCTTCCCCGCCCCACCCCAAAATAAAGTGGGTCTAGGAAAGCCTCTTGTCTTTACTGTGTAAGTGTAGCTTATAGTCCCAGTTTCCTCTTGCTAGTAAGTAGCTTAGCTCTCCAGCTAAAGCAAAATTCCTTCCATTCTGGGGTAACAGAAGTCCATAGAAAGCAAGAAATCCAAATCAGAAGTGATCATTCATCTAGATCTCCTCATGCTCCACTACAGCTTCCCTTTTGGGGCAGTGAGCGGGGCATAAGGGGGTTCTGTCAATACAGCAATGCCCTGAAGATCTCTCAGAGTCCAAGGGGAGCTTTCATACCCTTCCTCTTCCATGAGGATCAGCTCCAAATACTAATAAAAAAACCAAAAAAACCCCAAACATCAGATGTTACCATAAGCTCTTCCTGCTTCCCTTCTTATAAGGCAACCTTCTTACAGCTATGGAAGTCCCTGACTTTGGCCAGCTATAATTAGCCACACCACCATATTCTCAGAGTGCCTTACCCAGCTGTCTTTTTAGGCTTCTTCTCAGGCTTTCCCTGGCCTTTAGATTGGATACCCAGAGCTCTTGTTAGTTTCCTCATTTTGCATGAAATTCTGGTCCATTGAAGTCAATGGGAAAGCTCTCATTAAATTAAGCAAGGCTAATATTTCACCCCTTATATATCTCTCTGAAAATAGAGAGAACTCCTACCTCTTCACCCACCACCACCACTGAGAGTGAGCTCTTTATATCTGTCCCCCCTTCCCAGTAGCCTACAACTCCCATCAGTCACAGTAACTACCACTCCCAGAATTTCACTCATTCTGAATTAATACCAGATGCCAGATAGATTTGGACCTAAATAATATACCAAAGGCCAGCAAGCTATATGACAGTGAAAGAAGGAAATAACCACCTGAAAACCACTTTGAAACTACTGAAAACATGTGATGGAGTGTGGAGAAGCAGCTGCAGAAGGAAGCGTCTGTTCTCAGTGCAGCCATTACTGGCACACTCAACTTATATCATATGTCCAAGTATTACATTTTGACATGTGGATTTGAGAAAGAGTTTTGCTACATCTTGAGTAGGACTGTAGTCATGCTTCTGCCTGATGGTAATACTAAGCAGACCTGATGCAGTGAACTGTAGAAACCTGAATTTAAGAATTGCTTCTTACTTTTCAGGACAGTTGAGTTCATGGTTAGGTTGTGCTTCAGGGAGAGGCTGAAAGCAATCTTCTTTGGATGCCTTCTGCTGACTGATTTTAAGAAAATCACTGGCTATCTTCTCTAGGAGGAGACCTGGCCTTTGGATGATCTTCATAATGGTGGCCATTTACAAGATAGATGAGTACATCAAAAATAGGAAAAATAAGATGCCTTTAGAAACTAGCCAGATCAACCTTCAAATGAAGACCAAGGCCCCCTTTCACTGAAGAAAAAGAAGAAGAAAAATGTAAGCACAAGTTAGCAACTGACAGGCACTCTGTAACCACAGTCTCATGGGAGACAAAAGCACCAGTGGGACTAGGCCGACCACAAACAGGAATCTAAATGAGCCCATGAATCATTACGTGCACTTTGTGGGAGCCTATACAAACGTTCACTCATGATGCTGCAGACAGTTGTCTATTTACTTATGGTTTTAATTTGATTCCTAATGATGAAATCTAAGGCCATCCTGCCCAAAGGTGTGTTTTTATGGCCTCCTTGGTTGCCTGAATTTGGACCATCTCTTATCTCAATGCAGCATGGGACTGGAGTTCTGAATCTCAGGCTTTCAGTTAGCTATGATTTGATCCTAAGAGGTTAAATAATTCTGTGCAGACCATCTCTGGCAATTTTCATGGAACTGGATACAGTGCCCAGTTTGAGAAGTCTTCATCTGCTTATAACACTCTTATTGCTATATAGTCAGAAGAGATTATTAGCTTCTACAGTGTGGATTAATTTGAGAATATAGTACAGGGAGAAATTTGAACTGCAGGAGTATTTAGTCAGGTGACCTTGTTCAGTTACCAAAAACAAACCAAAAAAAACCCAGCAACAATCCCTGATGACTGAATTATTACAGTCAGAGAACTCTAGATAATATTTCATCTCTGCTAAGAGACTACCAGTGGCCAAGGCCGCACTCCTGCTCCCAGCAGAACATTTCTGCTTGCATGTGAAACTCGAATGGTGAAAAATGCCAAATCCAAGGATCACTGATCAGAACAGAAAGCTATCCTTTTATGATGTTAACATCAGCAGGTTTGCAGTGTAGGCAACTTCACTGCTAAAGAGACAGAAGACCTGGGCTTCCAACAAAGAACTAGCAGAGATGACCTCAGCTGTGTCTTCATTTAAGTGGAGTTTGAGAGAAGTATTTGTGTTCCTAGCCCCAAGACCAAGCTCTGCAGGGGAGCACAAAGAATATGCATTTTGTCCTACAACCACATATAGGTCACATTAACAACAACAACAACAAACAAACAAACACATTTTAAAGCCACAGCAGGCCAATCAGCTGCTCTGGGACTCTGCCAATAGGAACTCAGGGATGGAGCCTCAAACTGGGGTTAGGCTTCGTGGGTCCTGGATAAGCAATTGTCAGCAGGCTACTAAATGGAGAGTGGAGCATAGCTGCTTCTGCAGATCTGGGTTCAAGGCCCCTGGCTTACATAAGCTCATATGTGCTGGAACTAGAGGTGCTGGGTGTGCAACAGCACTCCCTGGCTTGAAGTGGTTTCCATCATATAAATGGTTTACAGTTTGGTTCAATGGCTCTCAGCACGCCACTATACAACTTGTTCCAGCATCACTGCACAAGCTTTGCTCTGCCATCTGTATTTCATATCAACTTCCTTTCACAAAGTGAATCCATGGCTTAATGTCTCAATAATGTCAAAATATTGACAATACATGGTAAAAATCTGAGGAAAATAGGGTAAAAACATTCATTTCAAAATCTCCGATTTGATTTTTGTAATCTGTATCAGCCATTTATTGACCAAACAATCACTTTCAACTACTATCACATTGTCCGAGAGTCCAGTCTCTTAAAAAATTGACTATTTTAATCTGAATTGACTTAAAAAAATGAGTAACTACATTCAAACAAATGGAATTTAGTTTTAGGAAACCACAGCTGCAATAATAAGATGGAAATCTGACACTCTCTAAGTTGAAGGTGGTGAGGATTAAAAGGTATGGAATTAGAAAAACCTTGCACTGTTGAACAGAATATACCACATAAATCAATGACTAGCCTTGGCTAGGCTTTGCCTTATAGAAGTACGCAGCATTGCAGCTTCACAGTTATCAGTATTTGTCATCTTGAGCATCAGTAGAGACACCAGATGCAAAAGAGAGGCCCAGAGGGAAAATGGGGGATGATGAGAAGAAAGTTAATAAAAGAGTGTACATTGTCACTATAGTTGATATGAAACAGGACTTCTGTAATATTTCAAGGGACATATATACATATATATGGACAAAAGCTGTTGGAAATATGCCTTTGACTTAAAAATGTGCCTGATTAAAAAGAATGCAGATAAGAATTAAGCAGAGAGCAGCTGGAACTTTGATTACAGTTGTGTTTTCTTCTGGATGTTTATTCCTATATCACATGTGCAGCTGCTTTTATCTACTCTTTAGAAGTTCTTGTAGATTTGGGGAACCATTAGCTATAAAGTAAACATCAGCTCCATTCTGTTTTTATATATCTTCTCTCTGACATTAGGAAAAACAAAAAAACCACAACATTAGTCTAATGCTGAACTGGATCAGACTTCGACTGTGTGTACTATAGAGTTGTACCACTTTAGTCTCCGCCCATGATATCATTTATGGGAGCTCAAGTATTTCTCGCATTTTTATTTACTGGTATAAATCTAACGGCTCTAGAAATAACACTTTTTCTGGGGAACATGGAATTTTCTTCTCTATCCATTTTAAAGTGAGCTGATTTTAAGTATTCCTACACTATCTATGGTACTTACATGGCCCCAAAATCCATCCACACCCTCATAGGATTCAATATCTGGCACTTCTTATTTAATTAATTATAGACATTGTGCTTTGAATAAAATAGGACTGCCGTTTTTGCTCTGTTTTACTTTGACTTATTTTGTTATTGTATTTGTTTAAGAGCTCTCTCCTTCGGGAGTAGAGAAAGGTCAGGGTTAACCTTGTTTAACCTTAACTAATGAACCTTTGCTGTGCTCTCATTTTCAGATCTCAGACATGTGGGAGATGCTGCTAAGGCAACAGACTGTCATGCCAACTCCCCATAAAGTAAGTGCATTGCCGACTGTGTGTGTATATATAGCAATGATTCACCACTTCCTCCTCATACAGTGGCCTTCGGAGGCTGATAGAGTGATTTGGGACTTATCTCTCTGGCCAAACTCACCAACAGTCCTCCACTTTCAGGGTAAACAAAGAGTTCAAGCTCCATGGCTTCAATAGTTTCTTCTTTGGCCCTCCCCAGGCTCACTCAATAGTCCTTTCCTACAAGGATCTCTCTTGGTCTCTTGGTCTCTCCCCTATTGATACAGGTGGGCTTCCTCTCACTCTTTCAGAAGCTCCTGGAATCTCTAAATAAGGACTGGTACTGGTACTAACCCTGGTCCTCCAGGCCACACCAGAGGTGCATTGCCCACGGCCTCTTTCTTACCTTACTTCATTCCTCCCGGCATTCTTCTGTGCTTTGTCACTTCATGGGCCTTTTCTGCTTCACTTGCTGAGCAGATTGTTTCCCCAGCTCTCTTGGAGAAAAGCCCCACACCAGGTCTGATCACTTTCCCAGCAAGAATCTGCTTTCTATGTTGAGGAAAGTTTTTTTTTATGTCTCCTAGGAGGCCTAGCTCTCAGTCACCTTCTATCTGAGTCTCACAATTGTGAAGAAGGAAAAACCAGGCACAAGTCAGAGATGGGACTTGAATTCCTTAAAGGTTCAGCTGACATTGTGTTTGCCAACTAACCTTTGTGTTTTTCAGATGAAACACTGTGAAACAAAATAAAAACATCAAAAGCTCTGCAGTGTTTTTGATAAAGTTGTGTTTTTCATTCTGTGTCCTTTGCTGCTCTAGGGGTTGGGATGGCAGCCCTGGGAAGAGTGGCCAAAGCAACTGAGTACTATCTCAACAGGCCTCTATTCAGCTGTGACAGGTGATGGAGCCAGTCTTCTGAGTTGTCAAAGCTGTAGCTGAAGGGAGGGCAGTGGGAGCAGAATAAGGTATGGGCACAAGATGCATATGGTTAGGGCTTTCAGTCCTTGTGTCACGTGTTGATGTCAGCGTGACAGATATTGCAACCACATGCTGTATCTTTAGGGACCAAACTGTATTAAGTTTATGAATGTTTTATGTTTATTGTGGGCCAGGGATTGTATGCAGCTCTCAGGGAGAAGGGTTACCACAGCTCCTCCAGGAACAGAAACCAAAGGGGAGTGATTACTACAGTCCCAGTAAACAGCTCCAGATAAGTACTACCTCCAGTTGCATATGCCACTTGCATATACCAGTTTAAGGCAGTCCCAGAGGAGAGGTGAAGGACAAAGAAAGAATTTGGGAGGTAAAGGCTAAATTTGGGAAAACTCAGGGTCTTCTGTTTGATTCAACAAACAGGCAGGACCTTGAGTCCAAGGGAGACCCCAACCCTTCTTGTATAGTTGTAAAGCAGGGGTTCTCAAACTGGGGGCTGGGACCCCTCAGGGGGTCATGAGGTTATTACATGGGGGATCGTGAGCTGTCAGCCTCCACCCCAAATCCTGCTTTGCCTCCAACATTTATAATGGTGTTAAATGCATTAAAAAGTGTTTTTAATTTATAAAGGGGGGGTCACACACACAGGCTTGCTGCATGAAAGGTCACCAGTATAAAAGTTTGAGAACCACTGTTGTAAAGACTTTAGCCAACTAGGTTCCATAAGACCGGTGGGTGATTGCTGGCATGGTTACTGTGAATTTAAATCTGTTCATTGTTTCTTACATGTTTTCTCTGAAATACTTTTGCCCTGAAAATAAATGTACTTTGCTTTGGAAGACATGTGTGGTCACTGATAAAAACACTGTCATTGTCCTCTGAGAGAAAGAATGAACAGGGGCTGGCCTTTAGGCAGACTGGCTTGCTGGGGATATCACCGTGTAAGGCAGAGAGCTGTGTAGCCTTAAAACCCCCCAGTTAGGAGGGAAAGAAACAGAGGTCTCCACCCAAGAGAGGTGACAGCAGGGAGCCTGAAACCTTAAGTGGGTGCCCTCAAGGGACCATGGCGAGGGAATACAGGTTCAGTTATCCCTGAAACTGTGACAGTGTGGTGGCAATGTATGAGCTCTATGGCAATGTGAATTGCCAATAAGGTGCCCATAACAGTAAAGGCAAGTACTGTAGCAGGAAAAAGCAGAGAGAAAAGTGTCTTATAGTCTTTTGGGGGGGAAATAGTGAAGAGAGACAGGAAAAAAATGAGTTATGAACAGCTAAAGACATATCAGCTTCTGAGCATGTTCACACAGCAGTCTGACTGCTCCTATTAAGAAGAAATCAGAGATGGTGGTCATGCTGCACTCTTATGACTCTAGCCAGGAGGAGGAGGAACCTGCTCCAAACAAGGACAAAGAGGGTCTTTTTCCTCCTACAGCGCCTGCTGGTAATCAAGAAGATGGTGCTACACATGGTTACCCAGACAATGTAGATGCAGCAAGGTTGAGTGATCCAGAAGAGCAAAGACGCTGCAGTTTCAGAAGAAACGACTTTCATTTGAGAGAGATTTGGAGCGACGAAGGCTGGAAGATTGAGAAAAAGGAGCACCAGCACAAGGAGAAGAAGCATCAACATGAGCAAAAAGAGAAGGACATGTAGCAAGAGCACAAGCACAACATGCAGAGACAGTGCCAGAAAACTCCTGTTCTGGTAAGTGGAGCCACATCCCATATGCCTGGTCTGGGCAGTGACATAGACTCCAAATTATTTCCTCACTTTAGGGACAGGGAGGCCATGAATGCATTTGAAAGGGGGTGTGAATTGAACTAGGTGCAGCAGGAGTTGGTACGGCGTCTGGCTCCGCTGCTCTCAGGGAGGGCCTGGAAAGATTATGGGCTGTGTAAACAAGCATTATAGCTGAAATTTAAACTTGATGCCTGAAGCATATAGGAGGAAATTTCAGGGAGTCAGAAGAAAGGGAATATGAACTATGCAGAGGTTGCAACACAAATTAAGGGGTATATAAGAAAATGGGTATCTGGTTGGGGAGTCACCACTGTTGAGGAGGCCTAAAAATTAATGAGTCTCGAAGAACTCTATCACCTCTGCCCCCCGACCTATTATGGCTAATAGATAAAAATCCCAGGGAAGTTTGCATAGCTGGGAAACTGGCAGATTTTTCTGTGGACAGTCAGGAGGGGAGGCATAAAACATTCACGGTAGAGCAGCACAAAGCTGACTCCCAAGGGGGCACCTCCCAGAAAGAGGAATGGTCTAAACCCAGACTTTTGGGGGAGTTGAACCCTGACTGGGCCCCTAAGAAGATGAGCTGTGATTTAGTATATTTTCATTGCAACAAGCCTGGTCATTAGGTAAGACACTGGCCAGCACTGGGGAGACAAGGGGCTAATGGTAACCTGCAGTGGGTCCAAGTGGTAGCAACTCTGCATGCAGCTGAACCTGGTCCTTCCCCGACACTCAACTCAGTAAACCTGGCAATGTCAGACCCAAGAGGAGAATCAAGAAAATATTGTTTCCCAGTGGAGGTGAATAGGAAAAAGGTCCAGAGGTGGAGGGACACAGGAGCCCAAGTCACTCTGGCATCCCAGAGGTGGTAGGTCCCTCAAGAATCATCCCCAATATACTCTTGACCGGTCAGAGAATAATGGGATCCCTTTCCAAATCCCAGTAGCTCGGATCCTCCTTAAGTGAGGTGACATTCAGGGGCCTAAGGATGTCAGGGTATATTCCCAGCTGCTGGTTGAGGTCTTGTTGGCAAATGACCTAAATTCCTGGCCCTTGTTCACTTGTATGGGTACCCAAAGTAGAAAGCAGCTGCCCTTGTCTCTGATCCAGGGCTGCTAGCTGGCAAACAGAGAGACAGCTCTGAGCTGCTACCTGACGGTGTGAGTGCATGCCTCAGGGTAGAGGGGAGACTTGTTGATGATCCTGATACAGAGGAGTGGGCCCAAAAAAGAACACTGGGTCTAGTATCCCAGCTCCTGCTGTGGAGCTCAAGCAGGAACAGTTGTCTGATCCCTCTGTAGTAAAACCAAGGGTGGGTGGCTGCCAACCCCCCGGCAGTCTCCTGACAGAGGAGCACCTCAAAAGGTTTCTCTAGGATCAGGGGCTACACAATAGTAGATGCCCCTCAACAATGTGGAACTGTGGGGGATATGGAGACAAGCAGTGGTACCACAAAAATATCAACTTAGGCTAGTCAGCCTGGCCTACAATAGATCTTTCTCAGGGCATATGGGAATACAGTACACTAAACAGTGCTTACTGTAGAATTTCTGCTAGCTCTGGGTTTTGGAGACAGTGCAAAACAATTGTAAGTCTTGTGACCCATCTAAGCAATTGGGGAAACCCAAGAGAAGGGTAAGGCAGCCCTGATCCCCCTCCCCATCACAGAGGAACCCTTTCAAAGGTTCACTGTGAAATTGCAGGGGACCTCAGCAAAGTTACCTGAACAGGCAAAAAATACATTCTAGTATCTGGTTATAGTACATTATGCCACCCACTACCCTGAAGTGCAGGCTCTGGCCTTTGTAGAGGCAGATAAGGTGGCTGATGCCTTTCTAGAAATATTCAGCCATGTGGCATTTCCCTGGACGGTTTTGGCTGATCAAGGGGCAAAGCTTATGTCTACCTGTAACACCATGGCTTGCCCCTTAAGGGTTGGAAGCCTGGGACAAGCCAGCCCTGATTATTGCTTCAGCCCACCTATGCTGTGATAACAGCTTGGATAGTGCTAGATGGAGGACAGCTGAGATCCAGTGGCAGATTACTGCACAGGCCCATGCCCAGGCCCAGTAGCCCCAGCCAATTTGGGGGCCCCGGAAAAATCTCCCTTCACTGTGGCCTTGGGGCAGGAGGAGTTCTCACTCCGGTCTTGGGGCCGCAACTGGGGGGCAGAAAGGAGTGAGCAGGGGTGGGTCTGCAGTGGGGGTGGTGGAACGGGGATGGAGTCAGGCAGAATTGGGGCAGGATCACAGGTGGAAGGGACAGGGTGATGGGTGGGGCCTCGGGTGGAAGGGGTGGAACAGGGCAGGACCACAGGTGGAAGGGTTGGGGTGGGGCCACAGTTCCAGCACCGGGGTCCCCCAACTTGTTCTGGCCCTGGGCCCCAGGAGACCTTAACCCGCCTCTGCTGATTCCCCTAGATAGGGCAGCAGGAGGCTGCAATGAAAGCATGGCATGGCAGCTGGAGAGAAGAGTGATACTAGGGGAATTGAGAAGTCAGAACCAGCTACCT